TTTTATCTAAAACCAGCACTTCCCAAGGGCAAGGGGATGGGGAAACGAAAACAGGGGGAAAAAAATTCAAGGGGGAAAAGGAAAAAAAAAAGGGGTTTGGGCTTAAAAAGGAAGGGTTTTGCTTTGTAGAATTAGACTCAACAAACTATAGTTGCTGTGCATTTCTCCCAATAAAGAAAATCTTTAATGGAACTGTTTGGTCTCCAGAGGATTTACTGAACTTTGGGAATGAGTGTGCAGACTCTGACACATTCCTCATACTACAGTACCACCTTTTAATCCCCTCTACAGACTGATTATTTGTACTCACGGAGCATGCTCAGCCCTGATTAAGCTATTCAAGTATTCTTCCCATTAAGATTTTTTGTTTGTACTTCTGCAAAATAGCACCAACAGCACCCAAAGGGGAGTTATCAGTAGGTTGTGTGAACAACCCCAAAGCTTATTAGATTACAAAAGCTTAAAAAAATTCTTAACATTGGGGGAATAAAATATTCATGAAGACCAAGCATGCCCAGTAACATACACAGACAATACCAAATGAAGACATTTTAAAACAAGCATTTGGTTTCAGCGCTTTGAGGTTTTGCCTTTTTGTACTTCTTTGAGCTGAGTAATGGTTTAACAATGATGGTGATACTGATTTTTATATTTATAATTTGTAAGCTGTTGGGAGTTAAGAGTTAACATAAACACTGACTGAAGATTAAGAGTTTATTATTTATTAACAGTAATTTTTATACTGCCATACAGTATTACCTGACTCTGGGCAGGGTACAAAAACATTACCTCTCCCCCCTAAAAGTAGCTAAACAGCCATTAAAGCAGTAAATATTAGATAAAGTTAATGTGAATGTCTCACACTGATAAGAAGAGTAGCAGCAGTTACCCAAACAGTTAACAGGTGTAATCTGTACCACCTTTATGAATCTCTCCCCTTTCTACCAAAAAGCATGAAAAAATGGACGAGAGTGATATTGCATTCTATATATCACCTGCATCTATTTATCTCTTATTTGAAAGTAAAGTATGTTCTGGTTTTTTCTGCTGTAACTTTACTCTTCCTTCTAATAAATATTACTAACCAGAACTCCAGGAGCCTTTTGCTCTGGATTAACTGTTTCCAGGCCAAATTACTGAGAGAGAAGTTTGATAGGTAAAAACTCCCATGACTCAAGCTTGGTTCCATTCTTGGTTTGCCACTGCCTTCTTCTGGTATGTTTTTTCAAATTCTCAGTCTAACTTGTAGCTTGGGATTTCCTGCTGGTCTCCCATCAAAGTACCCTGCTTGGCTTTTTCGAGAGCAGCAAAGGTTGGCTGGTACTACCCCTATTGTAAAGTTGATTATGACCAAGACATTATCATGTGAACACCTTAAGTCCTGCACTCCAGGGACTCCTTGGTATTTTACATGACTGGAAATCTGACTGAAGTATGGAAGTTCCAGAAGATATACATTTGCCATGGGGGTGGAGGAGAACCAAAGACTTCTAACTTGACACCCAACAAAAGGAGGAAGTCTTGGTTGTTACACTAAAAGTATGCAGAACGTACAGCATGGATGGACTTAGCTGACTATTCACACAATAGAGATGAAGGAGAATAGGCCAATATGATGAAGTAGTGGTGGCAGATATTGGTCCAGATATCCATTTGAGGAAGACAGTGGACCACAGGGAACTGCAGGAGATTGTGGATTCAATAACAGAGGGATAAGGTTTGTCTCACTATGACAATATGTGTCAAGTGTTAGCACAATTATATATTTCACAAGTATTCCTAGGGTGGTTTCAAATCAAGTTTGATCCTATAGTTTTCTTTTAAAAGAGGGAGTGTTGTAAGGCCATCCAGCATTCACAGAATGACAGCTGATTTCAGACATGGAATACATTTCTCAGGAATTACCTTTAGCATGTAGGCTGGCATTATGTACACTGGGGCAAAAAAGTATTTAGTCAGT